TGACAGTCTATCCAATGTGCTCAAGACATAGGTACCAAGAAACATTGCTACATGATATGCACTCATGTATAGTAACATTGGAAAAAGTGCACGCCCACAGTCCCCCGGACTCGACAAAAAATGGTGTAAGAACTTCCACGACGAAGACACAGTCAGCTGTCCACCGTTGCAGCAGTTGGTGTCAAGACCAATCGCGTGAGGGTACTGCTGCAGACCCCGCGGTGCATCCTCACAGCGAAAGGGCCCACCCACACCGCCTCACGGCCTTACTAGCACCCTCTAATTCAGAAACTTCAGCAAGGATGTATTAGCCAGGCATCGTGCCCAAAGATCACCAATCTGGGTAGATCACGTGCTCGGTCACAGCTTACCTTGAACAGGGCACGCACGAAGCAAGTTGCAAGTTGACAGTGCTGGCAGGTGGAGAAAGGCAACCCAAGCGTTTTGAGCTAGAAGCGCTACTGTACCCAACCTGCCTGAAAATCAGGAAGAAGAGAAAACAGCAAAGCGTATGCTGTCGCATGCAAGCAACAAACGAACTCCAAACTGCAGCCCACCTTCATCAGTCTTTGGTGTCACACACGCACATTTGCGGAGAGCACTGTAAGCACCCTGTGTGTGAAGTCAAGGAACGAATCATCACAGCTACGTGCAGCAGGGAAGCGGCTCACCGGCACCGGCATCGTGTCTAGCTTCGTAATTGCCCACGTCTGTCTTCACCAAGTTGCCTGCACTTGGTTTCAAGGGCAAGGCCCTCAACTGTGGATGCTAGCTGCTAGCCAGTGGCGCAGCAAAACCATATCCAACGCAGATTGCTCGCACAGCCTTACCGCTTGAGCTGGCCAACTAATCATGAGGCTTAGGGTTTAGGATTTTGAGCTTATAAGGTCGCCCACATCCCTACAGCTTCGGACCTGCCTTGTGGTTTCTTTAGGATTTAGGGCTCCTGGTTTTTGAGGTTTTAAAGTTTGGGCTCCTCTAAGTTTGGAGGTTCTTCAGCATTTGTGTGTGTTTTTTTGCTTTTTCCTTTTTTTTCGGATGGGGTTCTTGAGGGTCTAGAGTGAAAGGTTCTTGAGGGTTTGGGGTTTGGTGTCCTTGAGGATTTGGTAATTTCCCAAAATAGGGGGACCCCAATATAGACCCCTAACATATTATAATCCTTATTATTGGGACCCCCAAAATGGTACCCCTAATTTTGGGAAACCCTCATCCCTATATACCCCTATATAACCTCAGCTTCCATTTCATTTTCCATTTTCTTTTCCATTTGACTCTCCATTGTAGGGGTAAATGGTACCCCTAATTTTGGGAAACCTATAAACCCCTAATAGAACCCTATATAATATAGCCGTTTCCATTTTCTTTTCCATTATCCCAATATAACCCCAATATAAACCCCATATTATCCCTATATAAACCCAATATAACCACCCCCATTTCGGGCTTAGGGCACTGCAGGGCTTTGGATTCCTCAACAGTCACGGCCAGGGGTTCTTTAGGGCTTTGGGCTTGGGATCTTGTAGGGTGTGGGATTTGGACTTTTGCAAAAGAGGGCTGGTTCTGCAGGAAGGTTTAGACTGTGAGATTTGTTGGGTTCTTTCAGCGTTCTACGGTTTAGGGTTTAAGCAGAGCTTGACCTCCCCCCTCCTGCCCGACTCCTTCTGCCCTCCAGCCCCTTCCCTCCTCATATCCCGGGGGAAGAGCCCCGATTTCGCCAAGAAAGTCACAAGCGATGGCATGCCGAAAAAGTCGCAAGCGATCAAAGAAAGGTTGCAGGCGATGAAAAGCAAGAGTCACGAGCGGGTTTAGCTCCACTTCTACTGGACAGAACAGTGCTCCACAACATAACATGCCTGCACCCGAATGGCCCATGATGGGAAAGACTTATCTAAAAGCTGGCTCAAGCCACGGTCGACCAGGGACCAGCCCCGCATGAACCAGCAGCAAGTTGTCGTGGTCCGGCAAACGAATGGTCAACGGCAATCTGCGAATGAAGTCCAAGTCTGCTTCATTCCTCAGGCCAGGCAAACTCGCGAATGAAGCCCATATGAGGCTTCTAGAAATCAAAAAACTGCGCCACATAAGATACCATAACATAATGTACTATAATATACTATAATACACTGGAATATTCTATCTAATTGCGGGGACTAGGTCTGCAAACCCTCAAAACAAGTTTCAAGCATGGCAACCATTCCCAGCTTCCATGCTCATCGGGCTTCGGGATCAGGCCGCTTTGCTTCCAGGACTGCCATCTCCGGAGTCTTGGTGGCAGCGGCTCGTGGGTTGAGGGTTGAGGGTTGAGGGTTGAGGAATAGCTAATGACAGCTACATGCAACAAAACAAGAAAAGTTGTCGGCACCAAAAACCTGCACCTGACTTTCCAAGGGGCGCAATGAAGTCATGGTTCCCTGCAATAGCTTGCAGGCCCTGATCTCTTGCAAACCGCACCACTTCTGCGGAGTGAGGCCCCTTGTTCACCAAATCACCAAGCAGGATCACGACCTGAGCTGGTGGATGTGCTGTAAGACATGAGACACCATTGCATGCAGGAGCCATCCTTTGGCTCAACGTATGGCACCGAGGGGCATCACCATCACTCTTGGAGTAGCCGCATGTGTCCTTACGTGCTTGCCGGACATGCTACCCTCAGCAACAAACAAGGGGGAAATGACTGCGCTACCAGCATTGCGTTGCCAACTTGTGTTTATGGGGAACGAAAGCTCATGTGGGGGGTTGCTCCCTTCTGTGTAACTGGAAAACCCTTATAAACTTATAAATCAGTGCTCGGCCCAAACCCACGAGGCCCGCAGGGCGCATCCAGAGAAAATCCCTTTTCTGCTCTCCGGATTGGCCCGTATTTGGGGGGTTCCCGCACCCAATGCCCCATTCTTCAAATCTGGGCCCTGGACGAAAGGAGTAAGGAGGCATCGTAATTTTGAGCGGGCACCGTTCGTACCGCCACAATCACCGTGGAATCATCAAAGCAACCATGGGCTCTGGAATCAAGACACAACAAACACCCTCGCGCTAGCCGCGCTAGCACCCTACCATGCACACTACTTCCGCGTTTTGCCCCTGCATCCGAGGAGCCAGCAGTGCTCGAAGCTCATCAATGCACCCATGTACGTCACCAATGAGGATGACACGGGCCGTGCCTACCGCACTGCCATGCGCTGCCCTCACATTCTTCGACTCCCACACTGCTATGTTATGCTATGTTGCTACATCAGCTGGCCTGTGCTGACGACCAGGTGAGTAGCGGCATCTGGATGACGATATTCAACAATGCTTGCAGGGCCCCCAGTGCTCATGGCTCATTTCTTACCGGCAAGGCTTGGCACCGGTTGACGCTCAAGAGCCATAAGGTTCAAGAACACTTTCATGTCATCATCTATGTGATTACGTCCCTGAAAGACGCCAAGGACCCGACGGTTTCAGTCGTCATGCGCCTCGGCAAGTGCAACACATTCAGATTCTGACTTCCCAAAGAGTTAGCATGAATGTTGCATCACAGCAATCCAGTAGGCATCTGGCCTCCTCGCATCCGTGGGATTTCAGCAAAACGCTAGCTTCTCTAGCTTTCAGCTTCAAAGCTGAACCATGTGATGTCTGATACTAGCGCTCTGCAGCAATATAGACCCCGTATTCATAAACTTAAAAAGGAGGGGGTTTATTAACCAGGGGTCAACCTTAACTTTCTATTCCAAATAGCCAAGTAGTAAACCCAGCAAATGTGAGAGCTGAGATTGGCAGCGCTTCAGCCACAAGCTCGCGCATGCAAGAAGAAAAGCAACGAGATCCAGAGAGTGTTACGTTTGCGGCCGAACCTCTTGCAAGACATCTTCCCAAACCAAGAGACCTGCAGCGCTTCAGATGCTTGTCCGACCTGCTGCGCAACCCTGCAGAGCCCTTGCCTTGCAACAGACCACCAGCTTCGGGCCTGGGCTCCAAGCTACGAAACCACAGAAATCACGCCTATTGAGGGCTCGTTTGTTTTCCTGTCGAGCAGCTTGCGATGACCTTAGGGCTGCAACACTGTCACCAGAAGGTCACAAGGGCATCAGGGTCCAGTATGCAGACCGTGCGCATCATGCGGATCATCTGAAAAAGCTTGCTCCCTGTGGAGCTCACGTTTACCCAGCTTGCGGACGTCCAGCCTGAAGCAGACCTGGACCACAGAAGCTCACAACGTAAGACAAGAAAAGTGCGGCCCCTGTACCTTGCCTGGCTCTCCAGACTTGCGCTTCTCTTGAAGCCAACAGCCTCGAATAAGGCTCCTGCCTGCAGCTTTCATTGAAGCTAAATTGGAGGGAGAGAGGAAAAGAGAGACAGAGAGAGGGAGGGCTAGTCTATCTCTTGCACCAAGCCTCCGTGGCGTGACCGTGCGGGAGAATAGCCACAATGCAACCGCAAGTGGGATCCCGCCTCGTCCATCAACCACTTTACCGACAGTGAAGGAAAATGCGGCTAGCACAAGCTGAAGAAGATCTTGCTGGGGTGCACACTTGGCTGCTTGCCTGATGGCTTTCACCTCCATGCTCGGATATACCACTCGCTACATGAAGGCACATGTTGCTGAATGCAAAACATGCAAGCTGCACGAGTGCTCGTCCAATGTGTTGCCGTCGGAAAGCTGGAACAACTCCCAGGTAGGCAACCTGCTGCCGACACATGCTTCAACAGCCTCTCGCCCTTGTGGCAGGGAGCAAGCCAGGTAGGAGGAAGACAGGGCGACAAGGATGCAGTTACGGAGAGAAAGGTGGCAGAGAGACGCCGGGCGGCAGAGGTACAGCTGATTCATTCTCCCTTTTCAGGTTGTAACAATGCAATCCCAGCCTGCAGCACTTGCTGCTCCGTGCGGTAGATCACTAGCCCCAGAGCCTGCAGGCCATCCATGCTCCCCATGCACGAAAGCAGTCACGCAGGCGGGCCTCCCAGTTGCAGCCAGTCCCTTACACAGGAGGAGGTACAAAGGATCCTGTAGAATGTGAACTTCATTTTTTTCCCGTTGAGCCAAGCTGCATCTCAAGCAAGCAGAAACTCTCAGGCCGTTCTTCTTCGAAACCACGTCCCACCTGCTAGCGACAGTAAAAAACCAATCTCCTCCACCAGTACGCGGCATCAAAGCCATGGCAAGCTCGACAGGCCGGCACTCCGAAGTCCAGTTCCGAAGAAGCGAGGTTGACAGCATCCAGAATCTGTTGGTCAGCCTGAGGAGACAAGCATCTAAAGATAGTAAATAGTACGTGGTACTGGTCAATAGTAAGAGTGGATAGGCATCTACAGGCGTACTGAGGCATGCACCTTTCCGGGTCGAATGTCTGCAGAAATTGACACCTGGATTGGAATCCACTGCTGTTTCTGCTGCTCTGAAAAAATCTACACTTGAACACATGCAGCACATGGCCTCCATGCTCCTGGACAGCAGTGACTTTGAACTGCCTCGTCAGGCGACATGCAGGCTGCACCTCTTTCCTCCATACCATCACATTCATGCACACTGCAGGCTTCTACGGATGTGCTACCAGAAAAACACTGTGCAAGTCCCCGGCTTGTCACATGTTTGTGTTCATCGCCTACACTGCATGCTAGCTGCGCTCACAGAGACCGATCAATGCTCTGGCAGAGTGGCAGCAATCATGCACAAAATTACTTGGCTGAACTGCTTTTGCAAAGTGAATTAAAATCCAGCACGGTGGTCCAAGCCAGGAGAAGCTCGCACCAAAGCTGTCCATGCTTGGTAGCAAAGGCTCAAATGTCTCAGGCGCCTGTGCTGGGCAGGCCGTGATCAAGCGGCTGAGGAGGGCCGCTTTCATCCTCAGCTGAGCCCGAACACTGACTCTGACTGCCATGGCCCTTGTACACAGCATGAAGGCCGGCCAGCAACCTCACTGTGACTGCTTGACTCCGACGAAATAACCTCAGATGTGAAAAGCCGACGCCTGCGTAGGCAGATAAATCCTCTTTCCCACACATCAGGACTGGACGGCTTCCAGGAGCTGTTGCGTTGACAGCACCTCACAAGACAAAAGCGGCCAGTCTTCAACATTTAGCGTGAGTTCTTCTCGCATAGAAGAGCCTTCATATCAGAAGCGCAGGTTTGTTGCTTCGAGGTCCAGCCTTTTAGTGCACCCCCTTCTTCTTGGGGCGTTGCCGTACTTTGTGGTGCTTCAGGTGCTTGTCTGTTCAACTTTGTTCTGTAACCAATTCCAGGTGGAGCCTTTGACACCTTCTCACCTTTGTGTAAGATTCCCAGATTCCTCGAAGAAGGGGGCTCAAGCTTGCATGCCGCCCCTGTCTTTGGACCTTTGGATTATGAAAGACATGGAGCTGTACCGTCGTGCCATGGTTTCTGGGTCCACATCATGCTGTCAGGAGCTCGAGAAACAGCATCGACTCATCAGCGCACACTGGAGTAATGGCACAGTCATGGAGCTTTGCAGTCCAATCAGTTGCTCACTCGACTGTCACCCTCCTAGTGAAACCGGTCAAGCTAAATCATCCTCATGCTCGACTACGACACGTCTCCAAGGCCTTCAGCTTTTCCAGCGCCTTCGCTTGCACACGGGGCCCACCTCGCCGATGGCCTGACGACTCACGATGAAGATTCTGGCAATGCAAATCTCGAGGTGTGCCTTCATGTACTGGAGGAACGGACTCGCTGTCCAAACGTGCTTGCCCATGTCCTTCCTGAAAAATTTGCTGGTGCATCTTGAGCAAATCATGTGGCATCATGAACGCAAGTCCTGCGCTCTAGCCAGCTGCTTTCGTCGTTCGCGGACCTTCGTGCCAAATCAGCTTAGCATCGCGGCAGTGTTGCTGTGACCTCCTGTGCTGCTGTTACAACCTTCAAAACACAATGCTAGGATCCTGCCTTCAAGTAGGCAGCCCGGAGATTCTCATACCTGACGGCATAATGCGGAATGCGGCTGCATAATATCGTCCAGCCCGAACATGTTCTACGATTGTTGGCGGGAGCTCACTTTGCTATTGTCCAGCGTAGCAAAGGCTTCCGGAACCAGCTCACCAGGAAGAGTGCCAGCGCGATCTGATGCCAACATGTCAAGGAAAGGGCTGAGCGTGCCAACAAGGATTAAACGGCTGGCCTGGATGACCAAGATGTTGAACTCAACCTGTCCCGCTGCACTCTACTGAATGTCAGGACCAACTAGGATTTGGGGTGGGAAATGATGGGGCATCAAATGGAAAAGACAATAGTAAATTACATGGAAACTAGTTTTTTTTTGGATGATATGGGGTTTTATTCTTCCCTGGCAGTGAACCCTCCCCACCCGTTCTATTCATGTATAAATATATATATATATCTATGTATACATATATGTCTATACACATGTAAATGCAAAGACACGCACGTATATGTATATACATATATATATATATATTCCCCATACACTCCCGTATCATGTAGGGGGTATAATTTCCTCTGTTCCCATCTGGCCTGACGCATGGCAGCGTGTCCATCTACATCAAGGCAACATGGCTAAAACTAAGCCTCCATAGGTTTAGCATTAAGGGTGCAGCGGGTGCAGAACCTGCATTATGAAACAGAACCCCTGAAGATGACTTGTGTGTCTGTAACAAATAGCAGGCAGCTTTGCTGGTTGAAATTGTAGCATGTTGCGTGCACAAAGCCAATTTCCACACAACGAAAACAATCAAAGACATGATTCGTCCTGATCACTACAGCTGGGACTGACTTTGGTTTTGGAAAAGCCCAGAGTATGCGACAGCGACATGCCGCATCTGAACGGCCAGAGCAGATCTAACCCTCAAGATCCACCACATTAGCATAGTGCGCGTCATGGCAGCACCCACTCTTGTGGAACTCTGCCTTGTCACCTCCTGAAAGATGTAGAAGACTGGATTGGACTGTGCATGATTGAACTTTCCGACACTTCCATATATTGTGCATGTCAGCCTCGTACAGCCATAGCACTCCCTTTTCGTCAAGACGAGAGGACACGCTTCAGCAAATTGGCTCTGAGAGCACTACAGTGACGTCAAAAAAGATGAACAAAGAGCGTTGAGAAACAAGAATAACCTTAACGATAACTCCCTTTTGCGTAAGAAGTCACATGGAGGACAGGAGTTCCGACAACAGTCCAGCCATGTTAAGGATGCGTCTCAAATCAAAATAGTGCTGCTGTCGAGGCAAATTTTCTGAAGGGCAAGGGTGGCATGACAACTTGTGCACTGACACATACCCTGCCATGATAACAAGCTGAGTTTGCATGTTAAGCCTTTGCGTCCAGCAGAGGTAAACGAATTTCAGGATCCAAAGGCTACGTGTTCCAGGCTGAAGCTGAAATGGTTGGTGTGTTGAAGATCAAGGAGTTCCAGAATGTTTGTTAAGCCTTCCAGTGGAGTCCAAGCAAAGAATGCACCACCCTGCGACCCGTTGGTAACTCGCAAGAAGAATGTCATGTAGCTTGAAGGCCTATTGCTCAACCATCGCTCATGCAAGGGACTAAGAAGATGTATGGTCAGTGATTCAAGATCTGGTAACTCTAGGTCCCTCGCACGAAGGGATTCGTGTGCGGAGCACAGAGTCCCGCGGCCTGTGCGCGGACTGAAACGAATTAAGCTCACACAGACCGCTGAGACATTCAAAACTTGATCTGACCTAGGGTTCCCATATCCCATTCAAGTTCAAGCAGCCTGCCAGTCAACAAATGGGGGTTCTAGTTTTGGATCCCGTCAGGGGTCTGGGCATAAGATGCGTCCTTTGACGCGTCACACACGGAGCGTCGGCACGAAGTTCACCACGTTCCAGGTGGCTTCGGCCATCTTCAAGAAAGAGGAAAAGATGCTTCCTTGGTGAGTACCAAGGTGAATGTAATAGCAGCCATGATAGCATGACACTCTGACAACACAAGTCCTAGTTCGAAAGCACAAAGAGGGTAATGCTTGCAAAAACCATAACCTCATAACAACAACGACAAGAACTGACATGATAGAGCGTTCCATCAAAAGTTGATGAGTAATGATAATGCTTTATTGTTGATGCTCCCGTATCAAAACTGGCCACAAGAAACAGCGCGGGTCCCGAGCACAATTTCGTTGCAACCTTGGCCTACAGTATCATCCCACACCTGCTAAAGTCCCACCGGATTGCCACTCACAAAAATCTCCCGCTCTACATTCTCCGAAAAATCCCTCAACAAACGTGGCAACAGGAAAGAATCATGTCGCTTCCAAGCATCTGGCAGCTTGTTGGAAGAACTGCAACTTGCGGCTCTTGGGGACCCCACTCACTGTCAGTGACGTGATGCCACTGGCATTGCGCAGCTGGAATCGAGAGGCCTCTGTTTTTGTCCTATTGCCTCGAGGAAATATAATATAAAAGACCATGAACGTGATAAGTATAGATCTAAACATGCAAAAACGAAGGTTCAAGGTGTTCGTCCCCCAACTATGCTGGACAGCACTCGAACGCTTTGGAGTTCTGATGGTGCATGAGCTAGCTTACGAACCCCTGTTAAACTGATTTGTGCTGGACTCTGGATGGGAATGCGACAGAACCAACTCGAATCAGTTGGATTCAGAATCCGTTATGGCTCGTCTTAGCGCGAAGTTCAAGTCAGCCTCTGCCAAAAACAGCGAAGTCCAAAGCCCGGGATCTAACCGAAGCAGTCCTACACCCTGCTCCCAGCACAGAACCCCTCAACACTAAACCACACACCCAAGACCCTGGAGCCAAAACTCTTCAATGCGAGAATCAAGCTCCACCTGATAGTCGGCGGGATCGATGAGCAACCTGATCTTTCTGCACGCTGCAGCTGTTTCCAAATTTCAGTGATTCCGCACACGTTGCAGAATTTAGGGTTCAAGGCCGACCCTGGACAAGCATGGAAATTCAGACCCTCATGCAGAACTCCCAGGATTCGGGATCCCAAGTCAGCATCTGAAACGAAGCTGCCTCAAACTGGATCAAGTAGCTGCAATTGAGCTTAGAAACCAATTCAAGAGCATGTGTGGTTGATCAAAACCCTCTCTTTCACCAAAAGAGTTCGAAGGATCTGATACGGTATTGGAGAGAAAGGTGGGCAACACGGTTCTGCAACGCAAATGGCTTTGCCAGCCACTTTCTCGAAGTTCACATTGCACACTGGCAATTTGAGTCTCATTGAATTCCAGTGGTTTGCAATGAAGCCACACATGCTCTCAGCCCTCATGAGGCACATGCACTTCGTTGCTTCACATTGGCTTTGGAAGTGTAACTCAATTCAGAACCCACTTGAAAGCAAATTTGCATAGCTCCAATTGAAGACACAAACAAGGCCGTCGGGCAAAATGATCTGGAACGATCTGCATGCCGAGACGCAGCGAAGGTCCAAAGATTTTTCTCACCAGCGGTGCCAGGGTGGGAAAATGTGTGCAGCCGAAGATCAAGAAATCAATCTTGGAGCCGTCCTACAGCTACAGGTCTGTCATAGGAATCATGATACTTGGCTTGAAATCTCATCTTCGATTCCGATTCCATGTCAGGTTCTGGATTCCATTCAACAGAAGCCGGTTCTGCATCGGGTTGCCTTGGGCTTCAGGCTCAGGGCTTAGGGTCTGGATTGCACAACTCGAATTACTGTTGATCAGCTGAAGGGGGTCTCAAATTCCCAACATACTCGCTCACTCTTCAACTTCTGACAGAGGCCTTGAACCCCTGCGCATGCTGCATGCAAAGCCGCGGGCAAGGCCTCATTCCTGAACAAAGTCTCACATGTGTAGCTGCAAGCCTGAGGTGACAGCTACCGGCACGATAAGAGCGGATAGACTGCTGCAATCTTGCACGCTGTCAAAAATCAGCATATTGTCGTGACTTCGCGTCTGGCCCTGCAGTAGTTGATACTGGCTCCCAAGTCCTCGTCCAGGTACGACTCGAACTTCTTCCGAAGCATCGCCTTGGGTGGATCCATGACTTGGGCTACCCGGAAAACAGGCAAAGACGGATCGACCACTGTAATTGCTCGCGTGTCATTACGTCGTCTCAACTATTGATGCAAGCAGCCACGTCCCAAAACTTGCTGGGTGCATGCCCCTTCCCAATCCGAAATACGGTGATGGTGATGTTCTTTGCCATTCCTTTATTCCTTACTAACAACCAACGAGAAAAAGTCTTCATGGATCATTTTGCCTGGCGGCTTCTGTCCGCTCCTCCCATGTCTCATCTTGGTCGAAGGGTGGCTCGTGCTGCACTGCGGCCACGCATTCTGCGCAGCCGATACAGTCACGTGTAGGCGCCTGCGAAGGAAAGTCCTCATGGAGGTTGTTGGGGACAATCCTCGGGAACAAAGGCATGGTGCAGTACACATGGCGGATTCTCACGGAGGTATCATACCTTGCAACACAGAATAGTAACACCAACTCACTTTTCTGCCGCTAAACTCCGTTGAGCAGCCCGAAGCCACGGCCGCCCGCACTTCGCACCTGCCGCTGGTAGACTCCACTCCGGCAGGTGGCGTCCGTGGCAAAGAGGCCTACCTTCGGATCAGTAAGCTCCAGTCTTCTGTTGCATCTTGGACGAGGTCAGCGTCCAGTTCAATAATTCTAGCATCTGCTCCTTATCCACAGACCGTTGCAACACCATCCACTTAAGTGAGGTAGCAAGCAGCTTTGAGATCATGCACATCTGAAGCCCTAAATCCAGCATTGCCTTTGCAGAGGTCTCCTCATTACGCTGCTTCCCGTGCGAGTTGTGCTGCAATGCTGACCCAAATGGCAAGCAATCTGTCTGAGCCCACTTCTAGCTAAGTTCGTCGACAAATTGTTTCTTAACTCTCGGTGCTCTCCAATTGTTCAAACTTACCCTGTGTTTGCAGTTACGATACACATGCTTCTCTGGGGATGTGTGTAGACAGTCGCGTGCCACTTGCAATCCTGAAGGGAGCTTGGGCATCGATGGATTTCCGTAGGCATCCTTCTGCTCCTTGTTTGTAGCAGGCTGATGTTTGGCGGTTCTCTGTTCGTACGGCGTAGACGTGTGCATTGAAACGTGCTGTGCACATGCAAAAAAAAGACAGCAAACATGATATGCATTTTGCGTCTGTATACATACTAATTATGACACGTAAGTACATAACATAATGACATGCATACATACCTACGTACGTGCGCACGTACGAACGCACATGCATGCAGGCAGACAGACAGATCGACAGACAGACAAACACACAGACAGACAGACATACATACGTACACATACATAAACATACAGGAGTTCACAGGTACAGGACCTGTATGTCATGCGGGCATCTCACACAGCTAGATAAAGCACCCTGCAGCCAATAAAGCTGCAGAACAACCTCCAAAAGCGTACCATACTCCCAATGTATGACTAGCCCTTGGCGTAACCAACCCCTAAGGCGCTAAAGTTCCAACGCATTTTTGCCCACACTTGCTTTCCGAAATCGACAGCCTTCCGACATGGCAGCTTGTCCACGGCGCGAAAGAAAGCACCGTAGGGCGCGGCTATTGGCAGCACAGGGTGGGCAGTGAAGGCCGTGTCTTCTGGCACTCCGAACCTGGCATGTTGCATCAACTTTTTCAAAAGCGGGCGGCCCCGTTTCGTGATCCTCATAAACGTACGTTTCCTTTGTTATGTTGGTAAAGGCCTACTGGCTGTTTGACTTTGAAGTCCACACTGTTTATTCGGCTCCCAGAACTTCTTTGATTGGTGCTTTGATTGGTGCTTCGATTGCCTCCAACTTCAAACATGTCGCTTCAATCGCAAGAACTGAACATGATGTGCATCTCATGCAAACAATCTCCGCCTGGTTCGGGAATCACCCTGGTTCCAGCCAAAGCAACTTGAAGCCCTGATCCACCTTCCGGTCGAAAACTGATTATACCGCCAAGGTGCGCAATGGAAGCAACAGAGGCAGTGTTGCATGCGATCAAGGTCAAGCCGTTATCCTCTCCATCCAGCCAGGAGATGATGTGTCGAGAATAGTCTGCCTGAGATGAAACAAGCCGTCCTCAACTGCAAGTCATCTTGCTAGAGGGTTTGCAGCGTCATAGGATCCAAAACAATACCGTTACTTCACGAGACCCGAAGGTCTCTTTCCTGTAGCCATGCATTCAGTTGCTAGCCCAAGGCACTACGTCTTCTGGCGGCTGCGGGCCGTAGGGTGCCCGCTGGTCATCGGCGAGGTAAGTCACATTGACTTCCGGAAAGCGTTCTTTGAAGCGCCTGTAGACCTTAGTTAGCTGAACCACGGACAAGCCAAAGAGTGCTTGTGCCTCGTTGAGCTGAGGGCTCCGGGTGATATAACGGAGGCATGGCTGAAGCATCTCGAAGGACTCCCCTTCTGGAGAAGTGTACATGGACCGAAGTGCTAACCACATCCTGCAACCAACTACACTGTTTTTTAGGCCTGAGGATTCACACCACTCCTGCGCAGGGAAGTTCACGATTCATGACAACAAATATCTAAAGACCTTAGAGCAGGCGATGTGATCGTAGCGCGTTCATCTTTCTTCTTTCCGTGGAAAGCACTGTGACAAAACACTCACCGAACCTCCGAACACAAACCAAATGGACCTTCACATGCAACCCACCCATGCCAGGCCACTGTCAAGCCTCCAACGCCGCTATCGAAAATTCCAACTCTTTGGTTCGTCCTGGCGGGCCAACTTTAATCAACTGAGTAGAAACCTCAAAGCAAACATCCAAAAGACAAGCAATCCCAAGGCCAGCTGCACTCTGCACTGTTTGCGATTAAGCGGATATTTCCTTGAAACACCCCTAGCCCTAGCCACAAAACCACCCACCAACAGTTTGACTCAAAAGCTGAAATCCTGAGCCCTGGTCTGGCCATGCATTCCCCAGTGGCCTCATGCGGTGCAGCTTGGCAAACTGACTCCTCACCTTGGCCCGAGCGCTTCTGCTGGCATGCTCAGGTCCGTAATGTCACCAGGAATTTTTGCAAAGTGAAATCCTGTAAGGTGTAGCGCAGCTAATCTTTAAACTATACATCTGGCCTACAAACACGGATTCGCCTAAATGCAAAAGCCCAAGCCCACAAAGCTGAACAGCTGGATCTTCCCGTGAGACCCACACATCTTGCACCCCAGGAAGCCCTGCACGTCCCTGCATCTCATCCCCCAAGGCACCGTATTGGCGATTTCATCAGTAGAATCCTCGCTGCGAAGCATCTCATCGATCACCGCGGCCCAGGATTGTCGAAGCAACTGCTCTGGCTGATCCACTCGGCATTGCCTTGTGCTCAGATGATATGATTGTCGGACCTAGATGGGAATAATTAAAACAAAAGCCTACACTGGTGAGCAAGCTGATGTTTGTTAACATGTTTGTGCCGTGCCAAGATACTGCGAACAATAAGGATCCCATGCAAAGCTCACAACAGCATAACCCCATACTCCTAAGCTCCGAAAACCCAAGATCCGTGCAATCTCCGAGTCACTGATCCTTGGACCTGGACTTCTTCAGGCTCTGGCCATGTCCGCCCTGGTATGTAGGCTCTCCCAGATCCAGGTCTGGCCAATCTACGCCAGCGAGCACCGGCCCAGCAGCACAAGCAAGGGCAACGGCCGAAAGGGAGAAAACCCGCATAGCGAAGCAGTGCCGAACGAGCACGAGACCGAATCTAAATCGTTTTTTTGCCACCAAATTCAGGAATGCAGGCAGGATGCGTTCTAAGACTGGGCCGGTTCTAGGGCCATAGTTAACTGTCAGTAATGATTCGGACTGCAATGGTTCTCGTACGCTGTAACCTGACGCATGTGTCACGCACCGTGCATCGTTTCCTGTGCCAAGATCTTGCTGAACAAAAACATGATGCAAGTTTTGTTGAACATCCACTTTTCTGGCAAAATGCCACTTGAAATCAACATCACAGCAGCCTCACCAAAACATGTTTATGCGGCGGCATGTTCTCGAGACATCTTGAAAGAATAAAGTCAGATTGGAAAACGGGTTCATGGTGTCAAACTACAGGGAAGATGTCCAAATAAATGCTAGGATGTTCCGTAACAAGCAATTCCACCAGCGGTCTTGAGAGTTTCCGACCGTGTTCCAAACACCTATCACGTCGTCATATCAAGGTCAACCGGACATGAACATACATGAATACACACGATCACGATTTTCAGATTTCTCTTGGCACGATTTGTTGCCGGCAGTATCAACAAAAGGTTTCAAATGCCTGAGTGCACGACATTTATCACAGCGGAAATGTTGAATGTCCAATGTCCAGAAGCAAGGTGCGAAGCTTGTTTTTGCGTGGCGATCTGCCCACATAAGCAAGTTTGCTGACAATGATCAAATAAGCTAAAAGCGTGGACGGGTGGGACAATTTGTTGCAGGCTTTGTGCCTGAGCCGAATGAAGAATCCATGAATGCATTTCCTCTGCACATAAACGTATAACCGCCCAAATAACAATCAAATGGTTCTCATGGACATTGAACAGTCATTTGTCGCAGCCAATAAATGGCCAATCAAGTTTTGTTTTTCTTGGTTAAGGGAAAAGTGTTAGCTCAAACATTAGTTTTATGATGTTGTACACCTAATCAAATCGCGTTTATTACATATGTATGCCAAACTGCTCATGGCACCAGATAGGAAAAAACAAAAGATATTTTTCATCATTCATTCAGAGAATATCTTACTTCCCAAAAATATCAAAATTACAACTCACCCACTCAAACATAATCACAGTTGCTCACAGATTGCGCTCACATTTTTGAGCTGACATCAAATAGAGTATTCAGTCATCAATCATTCACGGAACCAATCATGCAGGCACAGATTGTTTTGACATCGGGGGGAATTCGCACTGCATCAAACGTGGCCTGGGCTAGGGTCCGGGGCCATGTTCCTATACATGTAGGGTGGCTGCCAAGATCACAAGTCCGAAACCTGGTTTAGGCGATAGGACTGAGGCTCCAAAAGATAAATCCCAATTTTTTCCTGTACCCCCGCCTTGTTTTGGGCCCTTGTTTGGGCACACTGTGCCGCAACAGGGGCTCCAAAAAATTAGGAAAGGGTGTGTCATCTGGAGTACGCAGGGGGCCAAACCTGCTTTGAAGGGACAAATTGGCCAAAAATAGGCTCGGATTGGGCTCTGTCGCAAGCACAAGGTGGCTGTGGACAAGCACGGGGACGGAAACCAGCTTCAAGCCCCTTAACGCGTGTAGTTCATTGCCTGCTCGTTCTGCTTCGTTGCTGCAGAAAACTGTCTCCACTAAGGTTCGCAAGGCTTTCAAGCAACTGGGACCCCAGACCCGTGACGAGGACACAAAAAGGAAACTGGCAGTGCCCAGAGTGCCACTTGCTGGTGCCTGTAGGTTCCAAGTTCCATCACTTTCGTACTGGACACACGCAGTGCGATATAGAGCTCATTAAAACCCAACAACCAACTGTAGTCGCTGCCACACGAGACCTGCCACAAGAGCAGACAGGATGGACGTGTCCCATCCCTGGTTGTGGTCTCCAGTTGCCAGTTTTGGGGTCACAGGACCACAACAGAGCTGCGAAGGCCCATTGCCAGAAGTTCCATCCCAAGGAAACTCCCCGAACCCTTGCTTACAAGATCCGTAAAAGAAAGCCAAAATGTACTAAGGCCACGTCGCAGAAACAGCTGGCCAATCACGAGGAGTATCCACTGCAGCAGCTCTCCACTTGGTGGGTCAGACTGATCAATTGCGAGCCAGGACATGCGAAGGCGGTAGCTGAGGCAGTTGAGCGCAGCATGTCCCAAATGGACAAGGACTGTTTGTCTCTCATACAGAGCGGTCGCTGGGACTCGAGCGTGCGAAGGTGCTTCGGGAGACCGCGCGGCCACTTTTACTTGGAAGTAAGTGTAGCTGCTTTCCTGACCAGGGTCAGTCAGCTACACAAGACCAGAAAACGCGTTCGGCTCACTCCCAAGGAACTCGCCCTTAGGAAGAAAAGGGCGGAGGGACACAAAGCTAAGGCCTGACAAGGGGTGCTGGGCCTGGAAACAGGCCCGGCGCCCCCAGTGTGTAAGCCCTCCAGGGGCTATAGCTGAGGACTTGTGCGCCATGGAGGTTTCCGAGGAGTCAAGGTAAGAGAGGCTTCGCTGCTTGGACCCCGGCAAACAACAGGGGGTGAAGCTCAGCAACTGCATCCGTGTATTGTCTGTCTCCTTAAACTGCGGAAGTAGTCCGGGAACCTGGCGCGCTTTGCGCCATTTTGACCAGCAAGAACCTCTTTGTAATCTTGCGTTACAGGAAGTGGGCATGCTCAAGAAGGAAAATTCTGTCTTCCAAAAAGCCGCTGCTGAAGCTGGGCGGTGCCTTTACCACCCGGAAGGGGGTACTCACCAAGGACGGCCACACTGCTGCGGAAGGGGGAGTCGCGCTTCTCATTCCTAAAACCTTGGCCCAAAAGCCTTTTGGTGGTGGTTGCATGGGTACGTCTCAGTACGTGGCCGCCTGGGTTGGACACTTTCTGGTCACTTCCTACTAGGCACCGCCAGGCGAGAACCGTCCGGCTGCTGTAATGCTCAACGATCTCCACGCCAAGGCCTACCTTAACCGCGCTTGTTGGGTCATGGCAGGGGGTGCTAATGGTGAACCCGGCGACTGTGAAATCCTTTCGGCTCTACTTGGCCTGGGCGACTCTGTTGTTAGTGATGGCAAACCCACTGGATGGGAGGGCACCAGGTGTGTTGATTGGTTTGTGGCGAATAGGTCTGACTTGCTCTCAGGGCAAGGACACTGTGAGGCCCATCTGACCACAGTGAACGACACCTACATGGATCAGATTGATCAACAAGCCACACTCGGACCATTCATGGAAACAAACCACTACGCTTTGAGTGTCACATTTGAAGCTTGCAGTGGAAGCCAATCACTAAGCCAGTGTTTTGAACCAAACAGCTTGAGCCAGATGGTTTGAACCAAACACTTTGAGCCAAATGGTCTGCACTTTACAAATTCAAAAGTATCAGCTTGCATCCTTTATCACCACATCCTGTAAACAATCAGGAAAATGAGCTGAATTCGTGCGACATGCTTTCGATGCTTCTGGAAAAAATGGAAAGGCTTGATCAGTTCCAAGATTTCCCGCTGGTGTGGAGCCTTTGGAGGCTCCAGCTGAAGAGCTGAAGCACAAGTGTTTCCGCACAAAACAGAAGTGATTACTCTGGCCTGCTTGATTTGGCCTGCTTGTACCCTCAATGAAAAATGTCAGCAGCATCGGCTATGACAATGATTGCTGAACTGTGAAATTTACTGCAGCCTGAATGGCCGTTTGCAGGTACCCTCTGCACCACACAGAATGCAATCAGATAATCAGCAACCACCATTGTTTTGACCACGCCCGTGAATCCCCTTCCGC